AAAGAGAAAAGGAGACGGAACGACGCTCGGCCACGCAGAAACGGATGGATGGAATCTTCGATAGACAGCGCCAAACGATGCGGTTTGGTTAAAGGATTCGAATATCACTGATCTTCGTTAGAAATTGTTTTATTTTGCGTGAAATCTATAAATTGGATCTGGTTTGGTAGAGTAGGTACTGTGCACGGCAAGAAAGAAGTCACTTGCCCCGCCCACTCCGCGTTGACCAATCAGGCTCGCGCCCCATCCAGTTAGCCGTGTACAGTGCATGGATGAGATCGAATATCTATAGATGATTGTTTGTAACCTTTACAGTTTAGTATTAGAGGAATCCTAAGCCACTCGAACGAATGTTATGTTTCTCTATTGTCTTTTGTATTAACTATATAACTGGACACCCAACGATGATCGAACTGCTTTAATAAAGAAAAAATTAGTGTCTTCAATTTAAAAAGTATTAAAATATCCTGACTTTTCCGTCAATTTTACAAATATTTGCATATATTCCGAATCGGGAAACTGCATAACCGCAATTACACAATGTCTTTGGATTTACATAATTTACTGGACATAAATCTCGTCAATCTTAATGACCAGTTACGTTTCCCGTCCTATTATTATTAAATAACCAATTTAATATAACTGTGACGTATTGTTACGTAACGGAGTCACGTCAAAGTTTCTCTGTGGCCAATCTGGATACGGTTCACTTCCTGCTCTCTTACCTTTAGAAGGTGTCTCTAATTGTAAGTGAACGTAAACGCTACGGAGCGCGATAGGAAGAAATCATGTAGTAATAGTGCTCTTAGCTACGTTTCATATTACCGCTAGATAAGTTACCTCAGAAGCATCTTTAAATCTTGTTTTAATAACCAAACTGTTTACGGGAGCGTAATAATCAAGATCCTCCAGTATTCCAAGCACACGCAACTTCTTTGAAACTTTTCCCTGATTTTGTAATACGTTGCATACTGTTATCAGCAATTCCATAAAATATTCGATACTAAATCTTATCGTCATGGTTTTTCGCACATATATTATACGTGTTTTCATCATCCTTGAACAAAAGAGATTGTTCTCGTTAAGACAGAAAACTAAACCTTATCTCATATTATATTACACATGGATTATATATTTATTTATGAAAGAAGATTAGTGTGGTCTTTATTCCTTCTCTATGATATTTCGAATCCACAAAAATGCCATAATATAACTTTGCATTGGATGTGACTCTTGCCTTCTGAAACATTTTTGGCCCCACCTTGGATTTTTAATAATGAATTTTTTTATCGACAGTGCGTAGGAATTCGGTGGTATGTGTATTCACCAAAAATGATTGCAATTGATCCCTGTAACTAAAAATAATTTTTTCAAAATGATTTGAAACTTTTTAATTTCGTTGAAACTTTGTCCAGATACTGAATTTTTTTCTTGAAACTGCGTAGGATTTTGGGGGTATGTGTATTTACCAAAAATGATAGGAATTGACCCCCACAAAGGAAAATAATTTTTTCAGAACGATTTGACATTTTTTTTTTCGCCAAAAATTTAGGCACCTAACCCCTGACAATCATTCTTAGATATTTGTTTTTGTTGACTGTAACTCGAGCTAGATCTTTCAATGGGCGCTTCACCATTGACTTCTATATTCTATATTACATATTATTAGTATAAATAAACAGGAGAATTTTGGATATGCTGTGATATTATCGCAGAGGCTGTTCGTTGCAACATCCACAGTCATCTTTAAACGTCTGCGTGAACTAATGGTGAAGCCGGTAACTAGGGTGTAGCAGTTAGTTTATGGAGACCTTCCACTGGCCTGTTTCGGAGTGGTCAGTAGTACCTGGCCGGCCATTATCGCCCACTTGGATCGCAACTAGCGACAGCAACAACGGCAATACGGCAACAGCAGTGCGGCCGATGTTCGCGTTCCCGTAGCCGTTAGCGCCGACGTTCTGGCTGGCAGACGGTGGTCGGTGGTCCAGGTTCCGACCAGCGGGTGCAGCTGCATTGAGCCGAGGCAAGATAGTAAATTACACGTTGACTAGAGCTGACAACTGCAATGCATGCCACACACCGGCGTACACGGGCCTCTGCACGAGATGCCGTGTGTTTATGCGGCCGGTGAGTCCGGCACTGTCAGCCCGTCTAGGCCACTCGGTGAATTATAGATGAGCCGCCTTAATAAAGACAGGAGAGATGCCCGAAATTCTCCCGACGTTCCATCGCGGCAGGAACTCCGCGTTCCTTCGAACGGATACCACCGCCGCGAGCCCGTTCTCTGGAAGGTAGCGTGAGAGCGGCGTTTAGGTTCGCGAACACGGCAATCCGTTCGCTACGAAACGCGCGCGGAAGGGCAAAAGTCGGTGAAAAACAAAGTAATTTACCGGACGCGGGTAGCGTAGAAGAGCCGCGACTGTGAAATACACAGTTAATTTCGCGATTAAACTTTAAAATTTCATTCCCGGCGAACGGATACGTTTAACGCCGCCGCTTTGTCGCGCGTTCGTTTTATCCCTTAATTGGAAAACATTCTTTTGCGGGAGAACGCCGCCTGGCTTCGGTGAATTCGAAACGCCGCGGTCAAATGTATAAAATAAATAATGTCGTTTCAGTCTTTCGAAACTTTGTCTTGTATGGAACCTCTAAAAATTGAACGTTCGAACCCAACGTATCGAGAATGAATATGAATTCTGGGGCTGAAGAAGTTTCGCGGAACAACGTGGCGATAAATTAGGTCGACTCGCGTTAGCAAGTTTACCGGGAAGGATGCAAGTTTCCCGGCGCTGCAAAGAGTGCATCTTTTCTTTCTCGTTTGGCCTTGTATCATTTTACGGACACTCGTTTCAGGCAATGAGTGTAACTCGCGTACGCGCGAGTATCAGTGCCAAACAGTGGTAGTTATGTATATTAGGGGCAGTAAAACTGATGCAAATTTATTTCGAAATTCCGCCGGTGTTCTCGTAAAGTTGTTTTAAAAGTACCCTCGTAAAACGATTTGAAACCTTTTCTTCGCGCGCCGTGGACGCGTAGCCCACGGTAGAGACTTCACCGCTGACGCCTATCACCTCTTAAGTAATTCCACGTCGTGCCCTTAAGGTAACGAGTTCGATCGTGAAAACGTGCTCACGGGCGGATCGTTCGCGGTCAACGGCATATACGGTCCTTCCGATCTGATCGCAATATTTTATAATGCCTCGATACGACGATGGTATATATTGATCGACGCTATAACTCAGTCAGCTCCACTTTACGAAATCGCGTAAAAAGAATATCGAACCCCTCTGTCGCCATTTTACGGCTGCTGTTACCGTTGACTTTTTACACCCTTCCTTATTAACGTCTTCATGATTATGTTCGTACGCAACACATAAACCTTTCGTATGTTGCCTACTCGATTTCGATTCGAGACGGTCTTGAGAATTACAACTTCTCTTACGGGGCCATCTAGTAGCTCTGTAGATTCAGCTATTTATTGTTTACTTGGAGAATCAATTGCACTTTTAGACGAAACATCAATTAACTTTGGTATATCTTTTAGTTTAATGATTTTGTGGCGATGCCTCCCGCGCTCGCCAACAAAGGGCCACTCTCAATCTGTACGTTTCTCGCAAGCACTCGACCGACCTTCCCGACTGACCATTAAACGTAAAATACCTAATAGCTTTCCCGGACTCAGACCATATTACGACCAAGAGATACACTTGTTTTCAAACTATAAAATAAATTTCACGCGATGGGAGTGAAAATAATTGCCCCGAAGATAAAAAATAAATTGCAATTGGAGTAGCCACGAACGGAAGAGAATCTTGGTAAAGTTCTGGGGTCTTTCTTGGAACAGCGCGGGTTAGGTCGGTTATCAACGGTAAACCGACCAACGCAGGAGGTTTTCTGCTGCCATACGTGCCGGAATAGGCTGACGCGGGGATGAGTGGGAGGGGCAGAAGGCACCGAAGGGGAACGAAAATTTAAGGGCAGCCGTATATTATCGCGACGAAGGGGTTGTCTGAGGTTAACTGCCAGAGCTTCGCAAAGGGTGTGGGATCGGGGTAGTGTTGAGGGGAGCTAGAGAGGCGAAGCTGTGCCATGAATATGCCGCCATTAGTCACACGCCGAACTGCGCTGTAGAAAGAGAAGTAGGTGACACGAATTTCCCAGCATTGCGCACTCTATTGGTATCCCGAGAGTGCCGCGGCCGTAACACGAACAATTCCTCGTGAATGCGCATTTATCTCAACCAGCTCCCCCCCCCCTTCGCCCACCTCCGACACCCCCGGTTCGACCTTGCGGCACCCAAAAGGCTGATAAAACTTCCTGAAATCGTCGCCGTGGACGGGGGCAGAGGATGGGCGTCGATTTCGTTGTCCAGGAAACTTGCGACGACGTCTCTCGCGCGACACCTCTCTGTCTCCGTTGTTCACGCGTCGGATATCCACCACCCGCGTCGAAACATTCGAGCTCTTACTGACGCCCCTGTCACGGCCAGACCTCGTCGTTACATCTCAAAAGGCAGCAATGAAACGGTTAACTAAATTGCTACACGCCGGCTGTCGCTCGCAGAAACTGCCCCCCCTCCTACTTTTGCGGCTTATTCTCTCGGGGATATCCGAACGGTCCTCCGCGTTTGGTTACTGGTACGGTCTTTGACAGAAAATCTCCCCAAGAAAAAAAAACAAAGTAATCGGAGTCGTTAACGCGGTCATTCGTTCTGTCTGTCGAAAGCGGTCAGGCTTTGGTCACAGGGGCTGGGTCATACGATGCTCGAAGGGTGTCTTCTGGGTAATTCACGTCCAAAAATCGATTTCTTTTGGCATGTTTTTAAAATTTCGAAGCTTGGAAATGCATCTACGAAACCATTTTTTGTTTTTAAATTGAGATTCGGGTTGTGATTGTATCCCTGTCAATCGAAAACGCAAGAAAATCCTCGTGAAACTGCTTTCGTAGGTAAAAGAAACGATATTTGTAAATAATTGTAAAAAAGTTTTATTAAAGCCACGTACACAATTGGAAATAAATTATTTTCGTTCTCTGTCTTCGGTTACTTTTTAAGCATTTGGTTTCGAACAACGTCAGTATACATTGCGCAAGGAATTGTTATTATTCGAAATACAACTTACTCGCCGAAGGGCACCGACAAATAGATTTTTATCCCTGATGCGATCTCGCGTTTCGCGTGAAGATGCGTGCGGAGGAACTCTCGTGGTAAATTCGATTAGGTTAATACGATTTACCCGATTTATACCGTGTGCCAGGAGCTGGTATCGGGGCTCGTGTGTTTGATGCCGGAAGGTTCGCAATTTGTACCCCTAATAATATCGTCGACCTTCCCTCTGATTAGGCGGAAGTTTGTCTCGTTAGGTTTTAGGGTCATATTTATCGTCTTTTGTAATCTGTTTGTGTTGAACCACAATTCTTCCTCGCCCTGATTGTTCACGATTACTTTGATACCGCTCACGTACTGCAGCGTCAATTCGTCCTGAGCAATTATTACGACGTTCTTCGGTGTAAATGGTTTCTCAATGTTCCAACAAGCGACGGCCGTTAATTGGACTAACTGGAAAAATATCACGCCTCTCCGAGAAGTTGCTTGGACACCTGCCTGGCTCGCTCGCCTGTGATTCGATTGGTACACGATTGGCTCCTTGTATTTACTTAGCGCCAACGATTTCGTGTCCGTAAACTTTTGGTAGTAGCTAGCCAAAGAGTTGAAGTAAAGATACCTGAAAATTACACGGCCATTACGATCGTTTCGTGATTGATACCGTGAACTTCGAACAGGTTTCACTTTGTTACAAATAATAATAATATAGTCGAGACGTTGATTAAGTGACCGTGCAACAAATGTACCTTTCGTTGAAAAATCCCCGCGGTGACAATGACATTCCGAGTGTGCCGTCGGTTAAATCGAACGTTTCTCCAGCGATCGTGATGAACATGGCATCGTCGTCCGGGCCAAAAGCATTTCCGCGTGTATTGTTTACACGCCAGGACTGATCGTGACCTAAGTCATAAATCAGTAGCCCATTTTGATCCACGTCCGCCACGTACAGATAAGTATCGAGACACGTTTTTCCGACATCGACGATCGGCGTAACTAATGCTGCCTTCCCATACAACACTTGATCATCCGGTATAACGTATTTATGGATCATCTGATCGGTCGCTAGATCGAAGATCAATATTTTCGAAGGACAAACAGCGTTCGAGCTGATACGGCCAGTATCCACGACCCACAAACGGTTACACTCGTCTATCTGGACAGTCGATTTTGTTCGTGTGCTTAGCGAGGGCAAAAAAGTACTCGTGCAACGATTAATTCAAAACAAAAGTTTATAAAATAAATATTCATACGGCCGTCTTAAAAAGATCTGAATGAAACCTTGTAAAACACTTCCGCAAATGTCGAAATAATTTATTTAATTGGATTATATAAACTTTCGTTTGAAGCACGTCGTTGCACGAATATTCCCATCGTTCTTAGCACGTTGACTATCGAGCAGAATTCTTATTTAATAAAAGTTTCCAAATTTTTTAAACAACTGTATGTGTTTGTAAAATTGATGAAACGATCGAGAAGCCAACGTGCCAAGTATCCACTCAATAGATTCGCTAAACTATTTCATCGCACAGTTTCCTGCAAACTTGAAAATTCGTTAAGAGCTCGTGCCACTGAAATTTTCCGAATAATTGCACTGATCATCGCGATATTTACCGCCAACCTATAAACAGATATTAAGCTGTTGCAATTGAACGGCGTGAACCAGGTCCAATCGGGATAGGGAACCAGCAAAGGACCGCCGTAGCCTGCAGCGGTTGTCACCAGCGACAAAGTGATCGGTACACCATCCAGCCATTGCGGACTCGTCACGAACACGCGACCGTATCTGTCAATGTCGACGTCCTGCGTGAAGGAATTGCCCAACGTGAAGTTTTTCCCGGTCAAAGGAATATTCGGCCAGGCCCAGTCCAAGTACTTCCATTGAAAAGCGACTTCGAGCCTCCCGCCCGCGCTCGCACATTCCAGGGACCCGAACACGAGGACGAAACTTAGGAACAGCACCATGTGAACGATCAGAAACTCGAAAACGACGCGACACGAACGATTTCGAGACGAATTTACAACGAAACCGACGGAATTCGCGTACTCGTGGGAACGGTGGCTTCGGTCGAGTTCGCGATTCAAAGTACACTGCTTCACGGAGCGGCGGAGAAACGTTCTTGACAGTAGAATTACTACCACCCGGACTGGCCACTTTCCCTGCTGATACGACTCGAAAGTGCGGTTCACCTTGAACTGGATATTAACGGAACGGGCCGATGTGTTTCACGATCCAGCCGGTCATCGGGAAACGCGCGTGGATCGTGGAATCTGGCGCGAGAACTAGGAACTTGTTATCCAGGAATAATAGACGAGCGCAAGGACGTTACCTTGTGCATCATACATGATACGAAATGAATAAATTATATACTGGAATTACGTAACGCCGGAACAGTGCGTGCAATCGCGTCTCGTGCAACTATGTATCCCTTTCGATATTTCCAATCACCGATTAGGATTTACATACGGAGCTGGTTACGTAACAAAATACGTATTTGAGGGAATATTATTGGAGCAATTGTAGTAAAAATTAATTCTTTACGATCGAAGATGCATCTTGATCTCATGGTCAATCTAATTCACGTAACGTGTTCAATCGGTATTAATTACGCCTCCATTAATGTAGGAACGAGGCCACTTCCTACGCGTCTTCCCAGACGTAACGTTTCTTCCTCCAATATCGTGGAAATTTAACATTTGTTATAGTAAGAAAAATTCTAATATGTTCCTGGTATAACAATTGTCAGAAGTGTGAGCAGAGGGCGCGTCGAAACGTCAATAACGAATGCTCACGGAATGTGGTCATGAACGCATTAGCCACTGCGTGATCAGAAACTGGATCAGCTATTTGGAAACGGTACACGCCCACCTGAAACAGAGCCCGGGAACTATTTTCGTGCAAATTCCCAAATACAACGAAAGTTATTACGTTTGTCTTCGATTACGGAATCCTTCTCGCGCAAATTAAAACTTTGCGGTTTAAAGCCCGAGGGTTACGGAACGATGCTTAGTCAATTATGTTTTCCATGTCTTCGCATTCGTGTTTTAAGTTCCAGCCTTTTAATCGCCGCTTTAATTGCGGGACGGTTATATCGGATGAAAATGCACAATTGTTCCCGAAGGCGCACGGAATCAAGTTGTACGCAAGTTGAAATACATCGTGCAGTCGCGGTTAAGCGTCTGTACGATCCTAATTATCCCTGACTTTTGGAAGAATAATACAAGGTATTAAAAATTAGAGACTTCGAAGGTAATAAACGAGGTATTGTCTCGAAGATCATTTACGAACACAAGTTGATTTACAAAATAATCGATGCTGGTCAGCTAATGCAAATTGACAAGTAAACACCTTGGTCCGTTAACGTTTGCCGCGCAATTGTGTATAATCAAATAATTACCACAATTATTAGAAGATAGTCGATCGACCGTCGGGGCAATATATGTATCAATACGATGAATGGGCTGCAAATTCGGCATGCATAATTACAACGATCGTGAATAGAAAGTGTAATAATAATCGAATCGATTGCTTGGGAAATCAAAAATGGCCGGCACGTTTTCCAGATTTCAACGCCTTCGAAATTTAGTCGACGCTGAAACAACCGAGGAAGAAAATTAACAGAAATTTGAGTTTCTGAAACGTGTCATCGAGCATTCCGACTTGTTGGATGGCGTCACGTGTTACGGTTAATGAAAAAATACGCGCGTCGTAACTGTTTTCCAACCGTTACGGTCGGATCACGCAATACTCTCATAATCTTTACACTTTTCATTGCGAGCACCGTCTGATTTTTTTTGTTCGGCCTCCCGCGATTTCGACTCGTAATTGCTTTACACGCCTTGCCGCGTCTAGCCGCCACAACTGTATTTGCCGAGGAGAAATGGAAATCATAAATCACCTGGCCGGTCACGATTAAGCCGAATGAGAAGACAAACGTATGGTTAACCAGTATTATCGTGAAATACGGGTACAGGTTTTCAGCCAGCCCCTCGTTCTACGTTGCTAAAAAGATTCGACCAAGCCTCGATCGTTGCTGCGGAACTGTGTGTAATTTGTTTAATCATCGATCATGACGTGATAGTTTTTACTTTTCGATCTGTTAAAAAGGAGGGTGGTCGAGAAAAGTTTTGAAATATTTCTTTATAGAAAACACGTCTCAAGGTAACTTTTCTAGTTACACAATTTACTTAGAATTTTACACAATTACTTATTATAAATTTTCTATTTTGTATTACACAACACACCGGGTAGAATTAAAGCAAAAACTAGCACATTTGGATTAGTTACAGTGAGTCAAGAATCGGTTCATTCACATCTGGAAAGCAACGCTACTCGAGTAAAAAGCGATTGAATCAACGAAGTCGGTAAATTGCTTGTCATTATGAATAACACTACTTGGTGGAAGGCTATAAATATGGTTTTTAACACGTTGGCCTTCGCTGCATTTTTTTTTATTTACGTTAGAATGTATTTAAATCAGACATTCGGCGAAAGTGTCCTTCGTTTCGAGGACGTTCTATAATAAGATTGGAATTCACCAAATTCAACCACACCTTGAAATTCTTTTTCCTCGCTAAACGGTCTCCGAAATTATTTAGGTCGCCCTGGTCTTGATGAAAGATGTCAAACTTAAGGGGTTGGCAGAAGTCGTTAGAAGAAATGAAAGTTTTAACGAACGCCTAGTAATTTCCAGAATATTCAGTTTTTTAATTCGTACGTCAGCAGATCTTTATAGAAAAGAATGTTTTCTATTAGAAATGTAATTAATCGAATTTCTGAGATATTTTGCTGTATTTAACGAGTCCTTTATTTTTAGCTGTTCTTCAATTCTAGCGAAATCTGTCGAGTAATTGTACATCTTCTCGCTGTTATATTATATATTTCTGCTTCTCGTCTCGTGGAAGATCCTGTTTCGTGCACGTCTGCCTCCGTATCAATCTCTTCGCATGAAACTTTATTCAAGCCATACCGTGTATTCGTTCGATAGAACCGTTTTCGTAAACTCGAACTTGTTTTTCGTCGAAGATCATTATCACCTCATCTTTTGACTTTAAGAAGGTATACTCGAATGAACATGCAAGGCACTCGTCATTAATATTGTATAAATCGCGTATACAGAATACCTAATTTAATGAAATTATAATAAATCACTCGCCTTATAAGGCATGTTATACGTTTCTGCGTCCGCACGCATTTTCCTTGCTAAAAGTGAAGGGCGCATTCTCCACGCGAAATTATATTCGCAGCGAGCAACATGCGAGCCAATTAATTCGCGTACAATAAATTCCCACGAGAGAAAAACGAAATAACAACAACAGTTTCCATTAATAGGAACTACTAATGGGAATTCTTTACGTAACAACAATGCAAACGTGAAAGCAGTTGATGTTTATTGCATCGTTTTAGATTTTAAACAACGAACAAACACTGTACTTCGCGACTATAACGAAACGATTATTCTCTCCGAGCACGGCGATGTTTTTCGTATGTATTTTGCTCGTTCTTCTCGATCGAGACTTTTCCTGATCGCTCACGAGTATCGCAAACAAACCATTTTTCACCGGAAGCGATTTTGTTTGTCCCTCTGGAGTAACGAAGAGTTATCTCTATTAACTTAAAACTTTGAGTACCGCTCGAGCAGAGCGGAAACCGTTCCTCGACTAGCTCTATTTTGCCATGCGACATACGGGCGTTGAATGTTGCGGAACTAGTACAGTTTCTCGTGGATTATTTTCTATAATCCTGTTAAAAATCGTGTTAACAATTCCCTCGTTAAATTCGAAATTTATTCCTTCTAATGATTTTACAATATCATGTAAATCCAAATTTGATTAAAATTTGCAAAATTAATGACCGAGGTATCGATCTACGAAGGAAAAATCGTCAGCGTAGATATTGAACGCGACTGAGATCGAGTCGTAAGTCGAGTCTCTCGAAGATCATGATCTCTCCACACTTTCTCCGTTAGGGTTAATGGAAGAGGGTACGAAAAAAAAGAAAAGATAAAGCAATTTACGGGCGATACTGTTCGTTATTCCCAGCGGCTCGAACTTCGGAACTGCCATTCCGTCGGATCCTAGCGTCGCACGATTTTAAATCGACAGGGTAAGAGAGAAAGTCCCGCAAGATGCGTCCCTCTCTGGTTGAAACAGTTCTTCTTCTTCTTAAACTGAGTTTGGTAAACCCTCGTACAAGTTGAAGTTCTGACCGTGCGGGTGGCGTCGAAGTGGCGTAAGAGCGAAGGCGTCGTAAAAGTTGGGCGAAGTCAATTTTGCAGTTGAAGTTGGTAATGCGATTTGTGCCGGAATAAATAGTTTGAGTGGGGAGCACACAAGGCGCCCCCCCCCCTAGCCCCCCTCGCGCTACACCTCGTTTCTCTTCGGTGTCTGATCCACGGACCAATCCATTCGAGTTTGGTGTCACGGGCACGTCTGTTGGATCTACTGAACGTGACAGCCTTACCGGAAGAAGTTTTACGTAGACACGACGGTGCAACGAGTGACAACTTAACGAAATAACGGACTCGTTACTTCCGCTAAATTGCCGGGGCAGCTCCATTTTCTTGACGTTGCTCGAATAACGAAAGTCTGGATTAAAAAGGCTACTGGCGCGAAACAACCGTTGCAAATTCGATGATAATAAACGTACGCAAAATATTATTCTTTGTTCATGCAATCGTATAAGTTCTCCAAGTAACGTTCGTATGAGGCGATTTCACAAAATCTTTGAACAACAGATAATTGCCAAGGGCCCGAGCTTAATCCACGAAAATGCAAAAATGAGTCATTTTCAGGGTGAAAAACGGACCGTTCTTTCTCTCGTGAACCAGCAATTCCTCCCCCTCTCCCTCTCAGTAGCTAGCAGATCTTCGGTGCGCTGTAATCCTACAAATGAAAACTTATGCTAATTAAACCGTTAATAGCGGGCTGCGCGTGTAGGTAACGATCATAGTGGTTAATTAAGCCCGAGGAAATGAAACGCCGGGAGTCTGCGTGCGTGTAAACAGCGGCTGTCGTTTTCTTTACGCTCGTACGCGCAACGCAACCATAATAACCAGCCTTACATTCGTCCAGAACCAATTACCAATAATTTACGTGAAGAAATTGAATCAGTAGATATTAGTAAAAACTTAATTAACTCTTTCGTAAATTACCTAACCGGTGGTGTCACGATTTGGTAAAATATTTATTCAAATCTCGTGTTGTCAACAGCGAAGCGGAATAATGTAAAATTTTCGGCCAGAGACACTGTTTAAACGATCTTTGTTACGGTTTCGCTGTTTCGGAGT